GTTAGGGCAGGCTGTGACAACGCGGCCTTCTTTCACAGTCTCCGTTCCGCCTGGGGCACTTGCATGGCAGTGATCAGTTTGGACAGGAGTGAAACAAACGAAAAAATTCCAAAAGAATATAGCCCAAGGGCAGCTTGTCCCTTTTTTTTTTCAGGCTTCTAAGTTTTTTTTTTTCCCGCTTGATAAGGAAAGGAAGGCTGCCAGCCAGTGTTTATTCAGGGACATTGTGGGCTCGTTCCCACATTTTCCTTTCCCAGGCCTTTATCGCTGCGCCAGGACACGCCGCCCTCAGGGTGCCAGCCTTCCCTGTGCCGACAAACAAATTCCACATTCCCAGATCCCAGCTGCAAATTCATTTGCTGGCCGGAGAGAATGTTTGTCCTCTACATTTTTCGTTTTTTGAAGTCAAGCGTCTGCACTGTATAAAAGGCTCAGACGTGGTATTCGCCCCTGGATCGATTACTCCTGCTGCTTGCAAACATAAAAAAGGGTGTTAATACAATATTTCTATTAATAATTCAATCGCTACTTCTGCTACTAGGCGCTCACCCTGTGGTCTGTGTGGGTCTTAATGCCCCAGTATAGTGACGGGGGACACTAGACTATAAACAGGCACCGTCCTTCGGATGAGACGTAAAACCGAGGTCCTGACTCTCTGTGGTCATTAAAAACCCCAGGGCGTTTCTCGAAAAGAGTAGGGGTGTAACCCCGGCGTCCTGGCCAGATTTCCCATTGGCCCTTACCAATCATGGCCTCCTAATAATCCCCATCTATGAATTGGCTTCATTACTCTGCTCTCCTCCCCACTGATCGCTGGTGTGTGGTGAGCGTTCTGGCTCACTATGGCTGCCGTCGCATCATCCAGGTGGATGCTGCACATTGGTGGTGGTGGAGGGGATCCCCATTACCTGTAAAGCGCTTTGAGTGGAGTGTCCAGAAAAGCGCTATATAAATGTAAGCAATTATTATTGTTATTATAGAACCCACATCTACAATCGTCTTTCCTACAGCTGCTACTTTGAAAGTACTTAACACTGTAAACTTCTACTGCTGCGGTCGTTGATTATTGTTTGTCACTTCATGCAAGGGAAATAACGAACAAATAATTGAGGTGACACAGTAACGAGGCGGTCAGCACCCCTGCCTTGCTCATGGGCCCCGGATTGAGATCTGGCCTGGCGTGCCTTTTGTGTGGAGTCTGCATGTTGCACGTTCTCTTTAGGTGCTGTAGTTCCTCCCACCTTCCACAAACCGATGCTGCCGTGTAAATGCGGTTTCTCTGATCTGCCCTCGTGAATATGCGCCCTGTCCCCGAAGTGGTAGCTTCTAATTACCAAACGGGCAAGACGGGCTGAAAGACTTCCTCTGGTTTGTAACCTTTCTGACGGTCTTTACACTGACAGAACGCCAGGCGCAGGCAGATGCTGAAGGGTCCTTCTGTAGCGGCAGCAGAAGATAACATAGACGAATGAAACCCACTCAGACCCTCTTATGACGCTGCCATGACACTGGGGGAATCCCAGTCCCAGTCAGCTAATCGCATAACCCAGTCCTGAACCATTTGTCGTCAAACCGAAAGGCAGATGTAACACCCCGAAGATGTGTCTTTTCTGCTTGAATGAGCTGAAAAGTTCACATTTTTTTTAATACGCTAACATTCCCTTGAGCTGAATTTGCCTTGCTAAAAGCGTAGTACCAAGGGTCTTTTCGTTTTTTTTTAATTGGAATGCAATTATTTCCCTCGATATACTGTGTGAATACTGCAGCTGTGTCGGCCTTGATAAAAGCGTGAATTGTTCTTTTGGATAGCTGTTGTAATATGATCTCCCCGTATCACCGGAACATGAGTTGCCAAAAATGTAAATAGCTGCCGTAGATTTTCTTGTGTGACGTTGATCTACCTGTTCTGCTGGGTTTTCTTTAATTTCATTTAAAACTACAGTGTATCCCACCTGTACCTTCTCCTTGTTACTTGCCTGAGTGATTTTCCTGTGCTGTGTCGTGAGCATAGAAAACGAACGTGCTGACGGAGGAGTTGTGGAGACTATTTTTTTGTGAATGAGAAGAATTTATGTGGAATACTGAGCCCGAAAACGTAATATACAGAACTGCAGAGGCCTGAAATGCTAAAACAGTATACCAACGTTGGACAATTTAATATCTACTGACACCTGGAGAGGGACGCTGTGTTTTCTTTCTCCTCTTTTCTGCATGGAATAAACCTCTTACTTGTTCCTTTGCAGCCTACGCATACTGACGCAGCTCCCCACCTGAACTACTTCAATTTAATAGCTGTTCTCAAAGTGCCCCAACAAAAAGAAAACAAGTCCAAAATGGAACAATATAACCTTACGTTACTAATGTGGCAATATCACCTAAATATTTATATCAAATTTATAAACTGATTGTGATGTTTATTATTATTCTCTCAAGAACTCTACGTAAAATTATACAAAGCTAACTCCTGCAGCAATGTAAAAACCCTGACAGTATGTATGCAACAATGTAAAAAAAAACACTGTAAACAAGACTTTGAAAAGGTTCATAAAATGGTTTCTCAGACGAGACGGGAAGTGAAAGACGAAACATCTCCGAGAGACTGCAGATGCAGTGGGGGCGGGCGGGAGGAGAAGGTAAAAAGGGGCCTTTAAAATTCAAAGGAAAGTGTAAAAATAGAGGCGCGGTTTCGGGGGAAGCCAGGTGGACACGCTCAGTTTCTCAGAAATACAGATGAGTTCCTCTCTCAAGCTCCGACCGGCGCCAGGTGTCAGTCTGAACTAAGAGGTCGAGGCAACACGAACGGCAGAGGGAGGGAAACAAACTCTAATCGCTTTGCAAAATCAAATTTCCTTCCAACTAAGATAGAATTAGCCTAAAAACTGCGGATTCGGTGTATGTCAAGGGTCTCTGATTTCGACACAAGAGGTTCAACACCCTTATGACTCCGGACTGCAGGTGTCCACTCCGGAGGTCACGGGTTAATTTGCATCGGGTTTGTGGGCGTCAATCGGCATCTGTAGGTTTCGTGCAGCAGTAAAGCTTAAACTACAGCGACACTCACAAAAAACACCGATGAAGCAACACGAAAGGACGTCAGACCCCGAAACTTGTACGGGAGAACGATTCTATACCAAGCAATTTCCCGTTTCGGAATTTTCGTGGTCTTTGAACTGAGAAGATTGTTTTGTGTGCGAAGGCCACTGACTATCGATAAAGTCAAACTTCTTCAGAATCAACACTGAAACTCCATTTGAAAATGAGGAGAATTGGATAACTACCATTTCTTTTTTTATATATAATAGAGTATTTTCCATTACAAAGGACCCCAGTGCCGTAAAGATCCATTAAGTCCGGTACTTAGCAACCAAAGTAGAATTTAGCCAAAACACCGCTGATGTCATCCTTTGAAGGATGGTCCTCCTCCAATACTTGTTCCGTTTGTCCACTTCCACTATGCAGAGCCATCTGTTCGTTATTAGTATTAACTTAGGGCCCTACAGAGTGAGTCAAGTCGGATGTGATTACAGAAACGTGGTCGTCAATAGGAATGCATCAGATGGAAAAATACGGGCGAGTCATGGGCGAATCATAAAACTGAACACCGTGTAGTTTAGAGGGGAAAAAAAACGAGCGTAATGAAAAGTGTTTTAAAACTCGCGAATTTTGCAGGAGAATCCAAATGCATAGAATGACCTTTTCTGTATGTTAACGGAGTGAAATACGAATGACTTGACCTGAATGTGGAAAAAAAAAACCTTTTCCCCCCTTTTTCCTGCCCAAGGAGCCTAAAATTCAATCCATCGGAAACGGGGTGATGTAGACGTAGCATGAACGAAACACAATTTCGTTCATGCCAAACGCTTTCAGAACAATTGGCGCATTCACGGTTGTCCTCTGCTTTGCTGCCACCTGCTGGGTAATTGTGGTAGAACAACTCATCGAGCACAGATCCCGGCATTTCTTAAATAATCGAAGGTATCGCAGCCCGGTAATTCCTAAGGCCGGTCCTGACAGCCCCTGTGTCTTCTTGTCTGTTTACCATTAGGGTTCGTTCGAAAGTGTTTACTTTTCCCTCCTATAAGGAGAGTTAAACTCCTATAACTCACGATGCGTTTGGAGCCCGTAAAATCACCTGGCACATAGTTGGGACATCGCTATTTCAAACAGAGCACCAGCCCTTCCATTCCTGCCGCAACACACTTCTGCGTCATTGACCACACTGGTTTCCTCCCCTTCCCACTAAGTGACTAATTTCCTTTTGTCTCATTGCTACATGCCCCCAGGCTGCGATCAAAGTCTAGTTTATGGTCGATTCTTTCTCCAATCTAGGGTGGAGCTCTCCGTCTCCTGCTCTTTCCGCAGAGCAAAGCGAGTTAAATAACCGATGAAGCGTATAGTTAAAACTTAAATACCGTGTCACCAGCGCACACGGATAGAAACAGAAAATAGGCTGTAATACTCTGCAAGTCACATACGCGATTCATTTTCTCAAGCTTGTTTGCTTACATAAAAGGCGTCAAAAGACACCTCAAATCGCTTTAACAATGATAACAAGCCGTGCAAGACCCTTGCTTGTTTACCCTAAGGCGAAAATGCATCAGTCTCGGAGCGTTCGGATTTTGACCAATCTAAACAATAAAATGTGTATTTTAACTAGGTATTCTATAAGCATACGACGTTGCTCACCAACGAAAGAAAGAATCAGTGATTGGCCACACACGATTAGAAATACAGAATGAAATTAAAATATGTAGCACCTCAAAAAGCAGTCAGTTGTTACCTACCTATCCTATACTATATTCACAGATACTTTTACGCCCTACAACAACACGATAATTAGTACAGCAGAAAGTAGTAAATTCTTTAATAAAGAAAACAACTGCAAGAGGATCCTAAGATAACATTCTGCAGTTTGCAGTGTAATGGGTTTTTATCTGTAGCACGTGAAAAGCACATGCATTCTTCAATCCGGATCCCGCAATTGTGCAACACTTCCGCCACACTCGCTGAAAGCAGCAACTCATGAGACTGACACACCCAAGATGGCCGAGCTGTGAGCGGCTGTAAGTTGCGTGTGGGGTTCTCTGAAAACAGGAAAATCTCTGCTTTTCCGAAAGCTTGCGTAAAACTCTTGCTACACAGAAGCTGAAGGAAGAGGCATACTGCAGATACGAAACGACGTTGTGCATGATAGTGAGGAGTTTGGTTCGGACAAAAGTGATTCTAAGGTATGTGCAGAACGTGAGGTAACACTAATATTGAGTCTGTTGCTTTTCTGGCGTTCTTACAAATTCTTTCTCATTGTAAAGTAGCAGGATTTCCCTTCGGTATCACTTGACCGATTCTCTTGATGACGGCAGGAACGTGTATATCGCAGTGTATAACATTGTAGTGTTGTTAGTTTGTATGTAGTTGCGGAACAATACAATTGTTACTTCAGAACATACTAATAATGCACTGACTACAATGTTAAAACTGTTATTCACACGCATTAGGTTGGTGACATATAAAGCCGTCATTCGAGTTGTAATAATCTGATGTTTTGAGGATTATATGGATTATAATCGGAATAATTTTGCACTCTTAATGTAGAAAAATCGAGAGATGTTAATTTGGAGTTTTCATCATTTTAAGGCATACGGACAGATACCTGTTCTGATCGGTTTGTTTTAGTATGAACTCGCTCTCACTTTACTCGACCTTAATGTTAATTGTACTTTGGAAAAATGGAAACTTGTTTGAAAAAGTCCGTGTTTCCGTGAAGGTTTTTTTGCCAAAGAGCAACTTGGAAAAATAAATCGGTCTTGTACCGCCCCCTAGTGGCTGTAATGGGAACCTTGGCTACTCTGGACTGTTTTTGACTTGCGCATAATTTAAATGTTGTACCCCTTTAGTATTGACGTTATAAAGGTATGCATTTTAAGGGTTTCCATGACATGCCAGTTTATCACAGCCAATAAAACATATCTGCTGCTCAATAAGTGCTCACAAGTGTGGCTCAGCGATGCAGTGCTGCCTGACAGAGCTGGGGCCCTGGGTTCATATCTTGGAAATTGGGGTGCTGTCTGTGTGGAGTTTGTATCGTCTCCCTGTCTTCGTATGGGGTTCCTCTGGGTATTTCCTCCCATGAGCCCGAAGTCATACTGGTGGGTATAATCGGACCCCGGTGCGAGTGTGTGCCCGTGGCGGTCTGCCCTGTGATGGACTGGCGTCCTGTCCACCACAGGGCACACCTTCTGACTGTTGCATGCTGGGATAGGCTCCGGCTCTCCCCCCCCCCAATATCCCTGAATTGGAAAAGGCAGTTTGAAATTGGATGGAGGAGGGTACCCCAAACCGGCTTGCGCCAACCAGCACTTCCCTGGTGCAGGGGTTTGCTCTGCACGCCCACCGACAGGGCAGCCCACTCGCACCGAAACCTTAAATCTCCCCAGATGTTGATCTCGCAACCTGTCCACGTCGTCCCCCGGCCACGTTGTCCCGCCTCGTCTCGCGGCCTGGCCGAGCTCCAGCCCGCCGGCTTGCGTCTTGATCGCCCCTCTTCTCCTTCCCAGGATGGCCTTCCCGGGTTTCGCCAGCCCGGCCGGCCCCAAGCCCGACCTCCACGTGATCTGGGAGGACGCCGAGCTGGTGGCCTACCTCCACCCCCAGCCCTGGACACCGGGCGCCACGGTCCTGACGCAGAAGAAGCCGAGCGGGCCGTCCAGCATTTTCCACCTGCCCCTGGTGGAGTACGAGGCGCTGATGAGGGGGGCGCGAGCCGTGGCCGCCCTCCTGTGCCGGCAGGTCCCGGTGCACCGGTGCGGCCTGATCGCCGAGCCCAGGCCCGGGCAGCCGGCCCACGTCAAGGTGCTCCCCATGCACGGGGTGGAGCCCGTCTGGAGGCCCCACCTGGCTGGGGAGCAGGAGTTCAGCCCCCAGTACCCGGGCTACTGCACCTCCAAGAACGGCCCGCGGGCGGCGGATTCGGAGCTGGAGCTCATCCAGGCCCGCATCCGGGCCCGGCTGCCCTCCCCCGCCCCCGTCAGCTACCGGTTCTTGGGCGACCCCTCCGACGACAACCTGTTCGCCCGCATCGTGCGCGGCGCCGAGGAGAAGCAGTGGCGCGTGTGGGAGGACGACGCCCATGTGGCCCTGCTGACGCCTTTCCCCAACACGCCCGGCTACACCGTGCTGGTGCCCCGCCGTCACCTGCCCAGCGACCTCTTCCGCCTGGAGGAAGACGATTACCGGGAGCTGACCCTCGCCGCCCGCAGGGTGGCCCTGCTGCTGGAGGAGGGGCTGGGCGCCCAGAGCTGCGCCCTGATGTTCGAGGGCTACGAGATTGACTACGCCCATGCCAAGCTCATCCCCCTCCACGTGCCCCCCCAGAGCCCCGAGCCCCCAGCGCCGCAGTTCACCCCCAGGTACAGCGGCCACCTGTCCTCGGTTGACGGACCCCCAGCAAGTGCCCAGCACCTGCTGGAGCTCCAGGCCAAGATCACACAGGGTGGCTCTTAACACACCCTGCGCGGGAGAAGGGAGCTTTCCGTCACGTGGAGAGATCTCGAGCATCTTTTTAAAAAAAAATAAATATACAGTTCACTGTCCATAATAAAATGTTCCCCATTAGCAGTGTTAACACTAGGGTGACCAAACTCTAAGCGCATGAGGGAGCAGACACAAACTCCTCAATAGCAGATCTAGATCTACATCTCATCTAGTAAATGGTAGATGAACTAGTAGATCAGCCTTTGTCCAGCATACAGGCCCCTGTGTTCTGAAACATATGACTGAATAAGAACAAAGGTTGCTTTCAGACTTTTGTTTTGAGAGTGAGGGAGGGAACGCGTGCTGAATTCATCGAGTCCTTTATCTCAAATCAATGCAAATAAAGTGGGGAAGTATATTTGTGCAGTTACATGTCTTTATTCTCTCTGGTGGACTTTTAACCTTTTGCGGCCTGCTGTTTCTATGGCAAAACCTTGCTAAGTGCCAGGGAGGTGCTGTGGACAGTGAGAGGACAGCTGTGGGATTCGGCGCTAATGGAGACAACGTGGTCCTGTGTCCTGTCCTCCATATGAGCAATGGATGAGGGCTTCACTGGGGGATCAGTAATGGTGTTGCTGACATTCGCGCCACAGAATCTAATGACACAAGACATTTTTATACAGAAAGGTGTTCTATTTTTAAATGACAGTCTTGCACAAATAGCAGCAGGATTAGCACGACAGTAAGACTGCAGGGAGTGGGCTCTGTTTGGTTAGGTCTGGCCAGAGATTCTGCTTTTATACAGGTGTATTTAGAATCATTAGAATAAAGGCCAGGACCAAATGCTACGGTGAACAGTATAAATTATTGCAGTTCATCTTTATGTTCCTTGGACATTTTAATATCCTGCAGTACCTTCATGTCTTAGCAAAGGTGCTGTAGTGCTTTCTTCATTGGAGAATGTCACAACAAGTCTGACCTGTACTGGACGACAGTATGCCAAGTAAGGAGTAGCCTAGTAAAATCCATACACAGATGATCTAGTACAAAATCAGATTAAAGCCTATAATGTTTCTGGAATCACAGCACGTGTGTCCACATCATAGCTGTTTTTATACTGAAACAAGTTTTATATAGTGTGTGTGTATATATATATACTCTTGTGGAAAAATTAGTAAATAAGTAAAGAAACAAAACAATATAAGAAGAATTACAAATGAGAGTAGACATTTTAGCCTGTCTGGCTCATTTGGAAGTAGCTTATTGAAAGAAGTCAGGGAGTTGGCTTCAGCCAGGCGGCTGGATAGCTTATTCCATGCTCCCATGACCTTTTGCAGGTCAATGTTCTAGTTGTCCGTGTCTCGCGGTTTATAAGTTAACCCTCGTGGCTTTAAATAATAATAATAATTACACTTCTATCGCGCTTTTCTGGACACTCCACTCAAAGCGCTTTACAGGTAATGGGGACTCCCCTCCTCCACCACCGATGTGTAGCCCCCACCTGGATGATGTGACGGCAGCCATAGTGCGCCAGAACTCTCTCCACCCAGGGGAAATCGTATAATACAAATCTTGTAAGCCGGTTAATGAGAAACATTGCAAAGAGGGGCATTACAAGCAGTGCTCTTGATTCCTGACCGTGGAGGGACCTCCTTTGAATGACAGCTGATTCTTCAAAAAGAATGAGATCCACCGGGACTTGGTCTGCTGCCATTACTCTCTTCTCTCTGATGCCTCTGTGGTCTCTTCCATTCTCCACTGATCTGGCACGAATCGTTCTGGAGACAAGAAAATAATAATAATAATAATAATTGCTTACACTTATATAGCGCTTTTCTGGACACTCCACTCAAAGCGCTTTACAGGTAATGGGGACTCCCCTCCACCACCACCAATGCATCCTATTAAGGGAGCCCATCTGTACACTTCAACAGTGGAGCAGAAATAACCAGCAAGTAACTAAGTTACTTGAGATTTTACCACTTGCTTAGGTGGATCAGGGTTGTACAAGAGGTGGTGTGAGATGAATGCAGTTTAAGAGACGGCGTACTTACATTTTTTTCAACTCTCGTCTCCTGAGGTGTGCTCCTTTTCTTTCACTTAATGCAAAACAAAAAAAACCCCGAAAATCAGCCTCAAACATACTTGTCTTCTTCCATTATAATGGAGTCAGCATTTGGTTAATTTCAGTCTGAAAGTGCTACCGTATGAAGGCCACCCCTGGTTAGCCACAGTTGTAGTTTTAAAGATTGTACAGACTCTTGTGTTTTATCTCATCTGACATGGAGGATTTAGAGAATGACTGGGTGGCTTGTTCCATACTCCCACCAGCCTTTGCACAAAAAGAGTTTCTGCTTCTGTGCTCTGGTAAGTGTGTATTCTGAAGATGGTTGACTGTCAGTGGCCTTGAAGATTTTGACCGATGAGGTACCTTTGTTCAAGACTTTGTTCTTTCAGCCTGTCAGTATAGGACATTCCCTTCATAACAGGACAGTACCTGGTAGCTCTTCTCTGGACTGAATCCAGAGCAGCAACATATTGACATGGTGACCAATAGTACATCCAATATGGTTTGTATTTTGCATAGACTTATCAGAGACGCCAACATCCCACACATCTTTTCCTGGATACTTCAGTCAAATTTCCTCTTTCTATTAGGATGTCAGGCTGTGGTCCATAAAGAGCCACAAGTAGGGCTGCCATCATCGTAGAAAGCTTTGCTATTTCACTGAACATCATGTTGGTGAAACAAAAAAATGATTCCAGTTGCTGTTCTTACATTATAAAACAAGCGAAGTCTGCTGCCATTAACAAAGAAGAAGCTTTGAATTTCTCAAAGTATACATTTTCCTTTTTTCTACAAGTATGATGATCTAGTAGATTAGAACGCTTTGATGTTTACTCACACTTTGGGCGTTCAAAGTCATTACTGTTTCTCCTCCTTTGCCTGTCTGACCCAGGAGCTGTTGCACTTTTGTCACTTTCCTTATCTCAAAGTAGAAGAACAGATTTCTGAGTAGCAGTTGTGGGATCAGAGGTTCACAAACAGCATTAATAAATTCTATAGCATTCAGTAACCTGGTATTAAACAGTCTCTACTAATGGTTAATTGCTACTGTGCATCATCATATGTAGTTTCCATAGGAAATCACAATTAACTAAAACTCAGATAAGATGTTAGGTGATTGGTTAATAATAATAGTTAATAATAATTGTTTAATAATAATAGTTATTCAGCATTGTGTGAGCACACTTATATGGCAATCCGAGGGTAAACTGAAGTTTATAGAAGGTCAGACAGACAAGAGTCACTCCAAAAAAATTATCAGGATAATTTTTTATGCCC